TTCCACGGGACAATCCCACAGACACACGGTTACATAGGACATCTTTGACGACACAATTCAAAAAATAATTTTTCATTTTTAGTAGAAAGATAGGCGGGGTATTTCCGTACAATAGTATATTATATTATATCGTATTAATATTATTTCTTTTATTAGTTATTACTATTACCAGTATTAGTATTATCATATTATTATTACTATCATTATTATGTTATTATTATTACTTATATCATTATCATTAATATTATTGTTATTATTATTATTATATTATTATTATAATATTATATTATTATTATTATTATTGTTATTATTATTATTATTATCGTTATCATATTATTATTATTATTCCACCTGGACATTATTTTGACGGATCTCGTCATGACATTTTTTTTGCTCATCTATTGCTCGTCCCGTTACATCACGTTGTCATTGCTACCAGATCACGCGAGGTACTGACACGAGACATAAAATACACGATAACGAATTCCACGCCGAATTATTATAGTTTTAGTATGACACGTAAATGTTTTCATATTTATCAAATCTATCTATTTACACGTTTTCCCTCTCATTTTTAATGATAATATAATCGATAGTTCCAATTTTATTTTTTCGATCTAAAAAAATCGGATGTGATTACTTATTTTTTTTTACCGATTCTTCCAGGCGGATGTGTTTTACGGATACGTATCTTTTTTGCATTTTTTTTTGCGTGAATCGCATATATATAAATCTATTAATCCAATTTCAATTCGATATATTTTTATCTTTTTCTTCTTAAAGAAAAATTATCATATTTCAAATTTTCTTAAAAAAGAAAAAAATATACTGCTTGATCAATTTGTCTATATCTTTTTCTATATATAGTGAGTATAGGTGTCTCGCGTGTTGTTCGTATATGTGTGTATATTTTCCGTGTGTATGTCGCGTGTTCGGTACATACACACGCGCGCGTTTATTTCGCGAGTCGTGTGTCATGTAGTATACATATATAAAAGCATTATCGACAGTTTTCACTTAAGTTTACCGGTTCAATCGTATATATATATATATA